CCCCCCCCCCCCCACACACACACACAGACAGACAATCCCCCTCCCCCAACACAACATCCTTCTTTCCAGGAAAGAAAAACACTGCTTTTAAATGATCTATTTGAGGCATTTATTTACTTATTGATAATGTTACTGAATATAAGAAAGAAGACAAAGTTAAAAACAAGTAATGGCTATCAAGTATAAGAATCAGGTAGCCCACTTATGCGCTAAACAGGCGTAAGAGGGTATCTTAAGTTATTAGATACTATAGATGAAAATTTTGCATATCATTTTAATCAATTAAATCAAAAATATTTTCACTATTTTTAAAAGTAAACAAATGTCACTTTATCTGCATTTCATTTGATGTTTATAAAGATCAGGTTACGTAAGTAATTATAATGAAATAGAAAAAATTATCTGAATATTCGTGGAATCAAGACTGATTTGTGAAAATAGAGCCATACAGTTTAAAGTGTAACCTCTTGAGGAACCTCTTTTTTTAATTACTATCATTTGTAGGTTGTTGCAAATAGCACAAAGGGTGTATGAAGGTATTTGATCTAATAATGCATGTCTAGGCGTCGACACAAACGTAGGAGTAGATGCCGTCCACGCAAACTTTGTTAGCCGGGCAGGTTACGTTCATGCAGTCGTCATCATCTGAAATTAAAAAACCAACAATAACTGACCCTAGTGAAATATCACAGATGAAATACCAATGTATCAGATATAAAGTTTATATCGCTTGACATTGTTTAGTGTGAAATTTCAATTTTCAACTGACTGATGTAATAAAAATGGGCTTGGGTTATTTTTCAGTAAAGAACTCTCCAAGTAAAACAACTACATGTAGCATAACTTTGTATTCACCACTTCTTACCTCTGAAATACAGAAACAACCCATTGCTTGGCTTTGGTGTGTTACAATAAGTGTCATACAGTAGATCAACCCCGTACACGTTTTCCGGGCCATACTGAGTACTGAATCCTTCCAAACACATTCCATGGCCCATGCTTAGTGACGTCAGGCAATCGCAGTTGTCGTCATCAATTTGAAGTGACCTCACGCCGTGCTCCATACGATAATGGAAGCTGTCTTGGGCAGCTTTGGGTGCAGTTCCTTTATTTGTTCAAAGAAGAGCTTCTGAGATAAAAGAATGCTACGAGTTTTTTTTTTTTTTTTTTTTTTTTT